GTTCTGTCCCAGGCATGATGCTTCCTGAGCAGTGGGCATTTATCGTCTTCATTGTCCTTTGCTGAGTTCAGAGCAGTCTGCATTGGTTTAACATTGGTGTAACTGAGCATCTCTTTTCTACAGCCCTGCTTTAAGTAAATCTAAAATGTTATAAAAATCTGGATTAAAAGCTTGGGGGAATCTGCAGATACTACCCCATCAAGGAGGTGGGCTATAACTCCCTACCCCTTAAATGTGGGCTGTACATAGCGACTTCCTTCTGAAGAGTAAAGTGTGAGAATGGGGGCAAAGAGTAACTTTACAGCAGGGAAACCTGACGAACACTTACCTCCACCAAGCGATCAAGGTTAACATCATGAGTGACAGGTCATATTCTAGCCTGTCCCTTTGATATGATGAGATGAAAATGATACTTTACCTCTGTGGTCTTCCTCTCCCAAACCCATAACTTCAGTCTAATTAGGGGAAAAACTTCAGACAAGCCCATATTGAAGAACATTCTACAAAGTCCGTGACCAATGCTTCTCAAAAATGACAAGGTCATCAACAACAAGAAAAACCTGAGAAGCCGTCATAGTCTAGAGTTGCCTAAGAAGACTTGGTGGTTAAATATAATGTGGAATCTTGGATGGGACTGGAGCAGAAAGGGGATATTAAGTGAAAACTAAGAAAATCCAAATAAAGTGTGAACTTTAATTCATAATAATGTACAAAATTGGTTCATTGGTTGCAAAAAATGTACTCATACTAACATAATAGGAAAACTGGGTGCAGAGTGTGTGTGTGCATGTGTGTGTGTGTGTGTGTATATATATACACACACATACGTATATGCACACACTCACACACATACTCTGTACCGTCTTTGAAGCTTTTCTGTAAATCTAAAACTATCCTAAAATAGAAAAGTTTATTTAAAGCAAAGAAAGTAGAGGAAGGAATTCTCATATGTTCCTGGTGAAAATGCAAAAATAGCGCGGCCGTTTGGAAAACAGTCTGGCTTGCTTATAAACCAGATATACACTCAACCCATGACTCAGCATTTCCACTACTTGGTATTTCCCTAAAACCTATACTCACACCAAAACCAGTACAGAAATACTTCCAACAGCTTCCTTCATAGTTGCCGACAACTGGAAGCAATCCAAACATCTGTCAGCCAGGGGTGGTTAAATGAAACATGGCACGTCCACACAGTGAAATAGTACTCAGCCATAAGAAGGAACAAATTTCTGGGAATGCAGCAGGGGTGAATCCCAGATGCAGTGCACTAAGTGCACCAAGTGAGACTCAGAAGGGTCCATACTGTGTGAATTTACTTCCATGACATTTTGGAAAAGGCAGCACTAAAGGGACAGAGAACAGGTCTTGCCAGGAGCGGAGACTGAGGGAGGTGACGGACCACAGAGAGACATGCGGGCAGTGTTGAGGGGGTGATGGTCCTGTATCTTGATTGTGGTCATGGTTACATGACAGTACATACGTGTTTATCAAAACTCGCAGAACTGCACACTAATAAAGGTGAATTTTACTATATGTAAATTCATACCTTAATTGAAAAAAATACCGACTCAGGGATGATTGGCCACTGAAGCTGATGAGACCTTAATTTTGTGTGAAGCCTTAGAGTTGACAAAGCTCTCTCCCAGGCGTTCAGCCATGGGACCGCACATGACCTCTGCCACGTCGGTGGGACGAGTGTTATCATCTCTGTGTTAAAAGGAGAGGGAGGGGCTGAGAGTTCTCGCTTACCTGTGTTTGCAGGTGCACTGGCTTGGCCCCTCCCAATTAGGGTTGGCTAATTAATATAAAAGGCATAGCAATTTGGTGCAATAGATGTTACCATTTATACATTCTACAGATAAGGAATATAATTACTTTACAGATGAGGAAATGGAGGTTCTGGGAATTTCCCAAGGTCACTTGACTAGTAAGTATTAGAACCAAGAGTTGAATTCAGAAGTTCTGGTTCCAAGTTCTACTTTTCTTCTACCATCTCATAAACTGGTTCTGTGACTTTCACACAGAGCGTAGTTAACTGGATGGCATCTTGCCATGTGTCTGCACATCTTTCATGTGCCAGTGACTGGAGGTTCTAATTAGCTTCTGTTACCAGAGCCAGTTATTATACGTAAAGGCCACTTGACTCGCTGTCATCTTTACTAGTAACTTCGGGAGCTTGGAAGGCAGTCCGTAATCTCTGTGTTCTCTCAGCGCTTGTGTTGGAAAGTGTCTGAATGTAGGAGAACTGTGTGTATGTTGGAAGCTATCACTTCTAGAAAAAAGGGCTCTTTGGTGTAAACGTGGGTGGAGAGTGATTTTCCAGCAAATACCAGAACATGTATATAGTTGCTTTGAGAGGACGTCGAATTCAGTTGCTTTTTAGTTATGCCTCATTTTTATGCAAAATAATGACGCCACCTGCCTTACGAGGATTAGATCTGAAATCCTTCTCCGTGTTCTGTGGGTGGCAACGGAGCTCCTTCTGGGCAGGGCAGAGACTTCTCCCCTCTGTGTCCTCCGCATCCAGCACAGAGCCCGGCCCATCCCAGGCACTCAGACCACGTTCGTTGAGTAGAACAGAACCAAAACTCATTCTCCAGGACAGAGTTGTCACTGCGGGGTAGAGGCTGGTCTGAAGACACCTCATCCCGCTTGGTCCGTGGCCTGAAGAAGGTGGACGACACCTGGCAGGAACTTAGCCAGAACATCTCAGCCGCCTGGCCCCTCCCTCGGGTTCATTAGTCATCCTCTGCGATTATACTTATTTCTGAGCCCGTTTCATCTGGGGCCATGTTTCCTGCTGTCTGCTTGCATTTCCCTTCCCCCCATTTCTTCCAGGACTGTCCGTCTCGTCCCTGAGGACCACTCTGAGCTTGGGCTCATCCTTACTGACTGCTTTCTCGCCCTTTCCTCTCATTTCACGGGCCAAGCACAGGCTTTTTTTTAACCTCTCCTTGCCCTGCTCGCCACACAGGGAGCCCCACTGGGGAGGACCTGGTGACACAGAACCGGTAACTGGAGTTCCCCCTTCCCTCCACACCGCTGGTATTTCTGAGCACACCTGGTTTGCTGATCTTTGAGGCAGAACCTCTCATCCCCAGGCCACAGAGCAGGAAAAGAGTCAGAGAGTCATCCAAACCTTAATTGTAGCGAGAGAGGCCTCAGGACGAGCTCCACCACACACCCCTCTACTTCTTTTCATATTCCCTACGGAGTTATCATCTACCTGCCCATCTTCAGTTTTCCTCATCGGAGTCTTAAAGGAAAATACCACTAGTGTGAGTGAAACTAAGAATGAATACTGGAAGAAAAGAGAAAGGCATGCTAGTCCCCTTTGATGTTTGGCCTCATTTGGAAGACTCGCTTCAGTCCTAATAGTAATAGGTTTTTATAGTTCCACCTGTGCATGGTGACGACCTGCAGTGACCTTGTTCTCATTGTGTGATAGAAAGTCTGTTGGGCACAGAGTCTGGAGACCTGATCCTATCAGGGTCTAGGAGGAACTGAGCATCCCTGTTGACATCACGAGTAAATGAAAGCGCTCGTTACCGAATGGCTGCAGCCTTAACGCTCATTTCCACCCCCATTTAAGCCTGCTCAACCCTGTGCTCAGCTCCAGACACGCCATGAGAAAGACACACCATTCTTTCCTCAAATCCCCCACAGGCTCAATCCCAGGATAACCTGGATTCCCGAACTGGCAAGCTTTTTTGGTGTGTGGGTGTCACCATCTCATTAGACTGGGAGCCCCCCAGGGGCAGTGACCATGTCCACAGTTCTCTGTCTCCCCACTGTGCCTGGCCCTAAGGTTTGCACACGGTGGGCACACAGAGATTTTTAGAAGGAAGCCCTCGAGGCCAAGAAGGCCCTTCGCTTACAGCACAGGCTTTCAAAGACTAGATGGCGCCGTTGCTAGAGCTCGATCAGGTGTGTTCTGAAATCGTGGGGAGGAGGGAAGAGAGAAACCGAGCAGGCCCTGGAACTCGCACTTGCTGACTTAGATTCAGACACGCTACAGAAATGCAGGGGGCCCTACCTCGCCAGCATGGAGGGCTTTGCCATTTTCCTGGCATCCTCCCCAACATGGCTTCAGATGGTCTCCAGAGCAACCTTGAATTGATACAGTGTCAGCAGGACAGTGTATCAATTATAATTTTAAAGAACTGCAGTTCAGATAAATCAGGTGCCTGGGCTAAAATTATCGGCAGAGGTTTTAACCACTCATACCTTGTTGGCGTCACCCTACCAGATGAGGGTCCTTAGGGGGTGCTGAAGGAGGATGTGGGCAGGGGTATGGTGGTCCCAAGGAGAGCAGCCTGTGGACTGGATCCAGTCTGGTTCTCAGCCAGACTGACAGCAAGGCATCAGCTTAACCTGCATCTCGAATTGTCTGCGTTTGTGACCAGGGGAGAACAGTTGTTTTGGAGGAAACAGATGACAACACATACAGGTTCTTTGAACAACAAGAATGGTGGGTAATTTATACACTTAGGATCTAAGGTCAATGGTTGATGTTTGATTTAAATGATGATCTGTTTTAGGATGCTGCCCTGTGGTCACTTGTATCTGTCATCTGTCTCTTGTTTTCACCTGCTTCTCATTAAAATAAAAATGAAACATATAAAACCATCCTGTGCATAAGCCGGGATGGGGTCCGCGAGGGTGACCACTTTACAGATGAAGAAATAGAAGGTCAGAAACGTTAAGAGACACATCGAAGATCACACCGCTGATGAGTGGTTGAACTAAAACTTCAGCCCAGTATGAGGCTGAAATCAAATATTGTCCCCTTTTCACCACAGATTTTCCAGGCCACCTAAAAATCACAAAATTAGGAGGGCTGTTGTTGATGTGTAGGGTAAGCCATCACAGACTAGAAAAATACCTAAATAGGGTGACGAATGATTACTAATATTCACATTTATGGAAAATCGAGAGACATTCTATATCTGTTATTTGTGGCATCTGATGGTCACTGTTCCCCTGTTTCTCCCCAGGATGATGAAGACAAGCTGACCTGGAAAGATCGTCTCCCAGGTTACTTGATGAGCTTCGCCTCCATCTTGTTCATGGTAATTTCCTGGTGGAAACACCTGCTCATGACCTGTGCGTGTGGATCCTGCTGTGTGAATGCTGGGGCTGTTAGCCTGTTACGCTGTGGGGACGGCGAGGGACTGGTGAAGACGAAGCCACAGTCCTTCTAGAGGGACAGCATCTCCCGTGAGAGCCAGGCCGTTGCTGCTCACCCGAAGCGGGGAAGGTGATTCCCTCAGACAGAACCTCAGCCCTGGGAGGGTCAGTGGCCTTCAGTGGCCATGGAAGGGGGGGCTCTGTCTTCCCAGCCTTGACCACAGATGTTTGAAGATGGAGTTTCCAGGGGTGGGTTGTGAGAAGGTGTCTCCCACATCGCGGCAGATGGAGACTTTGGAAGAAGGTCTTACCTGTGCAGGGAAGGCGGCCGTAGAATGGAGGCAGCCTGTTGGAGCTGCAGGCAGGCTCTCCTTGGTGGCTGGTGGAAAAGAACAGCTTCTGGAAGGCACAGAAGACAGCCGGCTCGGGCTCTGTAAGCCTGATTCTTTAGCCTCCCTGTAGTTGCTGTGTTTATTTCCCTGTCTTCTCCCTGAGAGTTTGGAAGAGCCCTTTGGAGAGACCCAGATGGTCTCCACTGTGTCGGAGAAGGTGAGGAATGGGTCTGTGATTCATATCTGGACTTGATCAGTGAAGTGGTAGTGAGCCATTCCTGGGAGCCACGAGGGGCGAGACAACAGGAACTGAAGCGAGGAGACCTCGGGAAGGTGAAACTCAGAGGACTGAGCTTGGGGCACAAAGACACCTGCCCCCTGTCTGTGGGTAGACTCCTTCTAGTATTCGAGATGGGAACCTCTGTCCTTACAGCATTTCCAAGCAGGACTACACGTTAGTTGTGGGGTTGGGGAGGGATTGCTTATTCCAGAAATTGGGGCTGAAATTATAATAATTTTCTGGACCCACTGGCCAGAGGTAACACTGACCCTGGCCTGAGGTTACTATTTCCATTATTATTGCCATTGTGATCATTGAGGACGGGAACCGTGTCCTAATCTCAGAAGTTTAAAAAGTGAAAGATGCACGGGCACCATCTGCTTCAACACTTCTGAAGTGCAGAGGTGCTGGGTGCCTTGCCAGAGCTTAGAAGCCTACACGTGCGATCTCCTCATTGCTTAAGAAGAGTGGAATTTATTCAAGAATATGTGGTGAGTTGCCGTGTGTTAAGCTGGAATGGTATAAAGTTTAATTTAGCACTTCCAAGCCTCCCACAATATACATAATGTTGTCAAAGAGTTTATTCATTCATTCAGAAAATATTTCATGGGTGCCAGCTATGTGCTTGGCACTATTCTTAGGCATTGGGCATAGAGTAGAAACTAAAATAAAATAATCTGTCCCTTAAGGAGTTGACAGATAACAAATACGTGCGTAAATAAGAACACAGATAAGTAAAACAGGCTTCCGTCTCCAGCAGTGGTAGGTTAGGATATTTGTAGCATCCCATCTTGCTGAAAGTAGCAAAAAATCGTGGATAAATATATTTTTCAATCTTTTTAAAAGCTTGAAGGACTGACAGGATGGTCAGGAATACTAGACTGAACTCTAAAGGAAAATGGGGCCAAGGAAACAAATATCTGGGCACTAATGCTGCTTTTACCTTGAGGACAGTTTCCCATCTAGGCGAACTTGGGCTTGGGCTTTGGTGGTTTTTATGGGGCAAGGAGGATGGAAATCAGGGGGTATGACTGGCTCAAAGAGAACCTCTAGCAGGAAGTCCTCACCAAATTAAATTGGAACACCGAAGGGCTACACTCTCAGAATGAAGATGAATAACTAGCCACCCCCCGCCCCCAACTTTGGGACTTCAGAGAAAATTGTTATTTTCTAAGTAGAATAGGGAGAACAAGGGAAACAAATGCCCTGTCCCCAAGAAGTGGCTGTGGGCAGTCCCCATGGTGGATTTACAGCTTGGTTCATCACAGGAGAGGATCGGGAACCTCAGGTTGTGGACTTGGTCTGGAACTAGCAGTGCTCCCAGGTGCCCAGGAGAAGCAAATACAAGTTCTCTCTGGAGGAAGGCAGATTCACGCTAGGCCTCAAGAAATCCCCCAAAAGAATTTTCAAGGGCAACGAAGAGAATACAACCAATTACACAAGAAGCTAAAGCACCTTGAGAAAGAACAATGAGGACAGCAAAGACGAAAGATATTGGAAATACCAGTTACAGGTTAAAACATCAAGCTTGAAAAATCTGCAAAGAATAAGAAACTATTGAAAAAAATGGCTTAGAAGATTTGAAAACCAACCAATAAGTCTGCTAGAAATGAATAAATACATGAATATGAAATACATATATATGAATATATAATACATTTTACATGTATATGAATGTTGTATGTATTATAGTGTACATATATATAAAACACCAAACTAGACACAGCTGAAGAGAATTTGTGAACTGCAGTACAGGCTAGAAGAAATTATCCATAATGCAGCATGGGGAGGCAAAAGATAAAATATAGAGAAGAGAAATTAAAAGATTTGGAAATATTGGTAGAATGAGACTTAACATACATTGCATTTCAATACTGGACAAAGAGGAAAGAGAAAAGTTAATGAATGAAATATAATGACTGATGGTTTCCTAATGTGCTACAGAATTCCAACCCACAGATTGAAGAGTCCCTATGAAACCCAAGGAGAAAAAAATAAAATAAATCTACATCTAGGTTCATCATAGTGAAATCATAGACTATGTAAGACCCAAGAGAAATCTCAAATGCAGTCAGAAAACAAAAGACGAGTTACCTTCAATAAAAAGGCTGTTAGATTGACCATTGCTTTCTCATAGCAATTAGAAGTGACATGTTATCTTCATGTGCTGAAAAGAAAGCAATTACTTCTCCAGAATTCTATAACCGGGAAGAATATCCTTTAGGAATATCATGGGGGTAAAATAAAGATATTTATAGGCAAAAACTGAGAGTTTGCCACCAACTGAATCTTTCACTAAAGGAATTCTAATTATGTGCTTCGGATATGACCCCATAAGGAAAACCATAGTTTTAAAAAGAAATGAAGAATAATCAAAGTGATAAAATCGGTGGGAGAATCTGTATGAACCTCAACTGTGGAAATGATAATGATGACGCCTCATGGGATCAAAGATAAGGTAGAACTTAAACTATACACATCACTAATCTGTAAGTTGGGTGGGCAATAAATAGAGCAATAATGTTCTAAGGTCCTTGTCTCCTTGATGATGTATATGGAAGAGCAAAGGCTAGGAAGAGCCAAGACACTCTTGAAGAAGAATCAGGAGGGATATGGTGCTCTACCAAACAGAAACTTATTGTAAAACAATAATAAGTATGACAATGTGGTGGTGGGGTGGAAATAGGGAATTAGACCCATAGAACAAAACAGAAAATCAAGAGTCAGATCCACGCAAATGACAATGCATATAAGTTCAGAAAAAGTAGACCCCAAAGAATTTCATCATGGGATGTAAAACAGAGAAAAGTCAAGGATGGCTCTGAGGTTTTTATCTTCCAAAGGCTAGAGTTATCCCTAGGAATCCTGGAGTTGCCTGCCTGATGGATATAAATCTGGAGTTCAGAGGAGATGCCCAGGCTGGAGCCCTAATCAGATGGTAGAGATGGTACTTAAAGCCATGAGCTTGTATGAGATCCCCAGGGGCGTGAGGAGAGATAGAGAAAAGGTCCAAGGACTGAGTCCCAAGATGCTGTAATGTGAAAATTTGGGAGCGCGAGGAAGAGCCAAAAGAGAAGGTTGAAAAGGAAGAGCCAGGGGAGAGGGGAGGGTCCCCGAAGCCAAGAAGGTATTGCAAGGGGAGGGCCATCACTTGTGTCAGATGCCACTGATAGGTCTGGGAGGGAGAAGATTGAAAATTGAAGCTTATCTACTGCCTGAGAGAAGACCTTGTAGCATCATCATGATCGCTGTCTACAACAAGTAGACATCACTATTGACAAACACTGAAAATCAGGTCAGTGGAGGGGTATCTCCTCAATATGTTCTTCTTTTTTTTTTCTTTTTTTTGCGGTATGTGGGTCTCTCACTGTTGTGGCCTCTCCCATTTGCAGAGCACAGGCTCTGGACACGCAGGCTCAGCGGCCATGGCTCACGGGCCCAGCCACTCTGCGGCATGTGGGATCTTCCTGGACCGGGGCACGAACCCGTGTCCCCTGCATCTGCAGGTGGACTCTCAACCACTGCGCCACCAGGGAAGCCCAATGTTCTAATTTTAAAAAAATTCCGTGGGTGGGGCTTCCCTGGCAGTCCAGTGTATGAGACTCCGTGCTTCCACTACAGGAGGCATGGGTTCGGTCCCTGGTAGGGGAACTAAGGTTCCCTCATGCCGCATGACGTGACCAAAAAAATAAATCGATATTTTTAAAAAATTCCATGGAGACCTTCTGAAGCTAGACTCGAGGGTGGGAAAATTTTTTTGTGTCGTTCAGAGATAATAAATGATTATCTCTTATCTTCCCTTTCACAACCCCGCCTAACTCCAAATCTTGATACCAACAGTAGATTGTGTATCAGAATCAGGAACTCATTGAGGCGTCTCACTCTGCCTGGGGTCCCCCAGCTATATGTAGCCAGCAGGTGCTGGGAATGGGAGTACAGTGGTAGGAAGATCACCTCGTGCAGGCAGGTGCTCTGGACTAGACCTGGCCTAGGCTTGTTGACTGAGATCATCATGACTAGCGTTCCTTTCTACTTTCAGAAGTATTCCAGGTTGGGCAATAAATGATATAGTCCCCTACCAATTTGATATTTTAAAAAGCCTTATTTTACACTAACCTTTTCCCTTTTTTTTTTTCACTTTTTATAAAACCCAGTCTTCTTGAGAAAGGGGCTTGGCATTTCCCTAGAACAAGGTGTGGAATCTGAGATAAAGGAGTCAGGATGGTGTTTATAAAAGAGTGTTTTTTTGTTATGGAATTCGTCAAGGGCATCTATGGCAAGGAACTTGAGTGTCCGATATCATTTCCTCCTTCACCCCCTGTGATGAAAC